CGAAATAATAAAATTAATAAATCATTTAATCAATGGTCATTTAACAGATGATGAGATTATACAAAATGTTACTGGCACTGTTGACGTTCCCAGCACCAGCACAGCCGTACCCAGCACCAGCACAGCCGTACCCAGCACCAGCACAGCTGTACCCAGCACCAGCACAGCCGTACCCAGCACCAGCACAGCTGTACCCAGCACCAGCACAGCCGTACCCAGCACCAGCACAGCCGTACCCAGCACCAGCACAGCCGTACCCAGCACCAGCACAGCCGTACCCAGCACCAGCACAGCCGTACCCAGCACCAGCACAGCTGTACCCAGCACCAGCACAAAAGCAGCTAAAGCCAACACAGCAGCAGCGAGCACCAGCAAAGCTGATGCAAACATCTAAAAACATCGTGTGTGAAGTGAACAATTAGAATAAGTGTTAAATTCAAGTGTGTACATAGTGTTAAAATTAAAGTTGCAATAATTCTACCCTTTTCTCTATGAACACCAACCTAATCAACCCTACCTAACCTAACCTAACCTATATTATAGCGTTACCGTCACAATATATATATTATATATATATATATATATATATATATATATATATATATATATATATATATATATATATATATATATATATATATATATATATAGATGTCGTACCTAATAGCCAGAACGCACTTCTCAGCCTACTATGCAAGGCCCAATTTGCCTAATAAGCCAAGTTTTCCTGAATTAATATATTTTCTCTAATTTTTTTCTTATGAAATGATAAAACTACCATTTCATTATGTATGAGGTCAATTTTTTTTATTGGAGTTAAAATTAACGTAGATATATGACCAAACCTAACCAACCCTACCTAACCTAACCTAACCTATCTTTAAAGGTTAGGTGGCCGAAAAAGTTAGGTTGGTTAGGTAGTCGAAAAACAATTAATTCATGAAAACTTGGCTTATTAGGCAAATCGGGCCTTGCATAGTAGGCTGAAAAGTGCGTTCTGGCTACTAGGTACGACATATATATATATATATATATATATATATATATATATATATATATATATATATATATATATATATATATATATATATATATATATATATATTATATAAAATATATATATACACACACACACACACCTGTACAATGGAACCTCAACTTATAAATGCCCCTACTAACAAATTCTTTGAGTTATGACCCCAATTTTGTCGGAAAATTCTATTCGACCTACTGCCTTGATCTCTACTTGCGACTTTGTTGATACAAGTATGGGTCGAGCGAGCGCGTTATTCCTGGTGGCAGAGGCGACCGCACTTCAATTTACCATTGTCACCAGCCTAGTGACGATCACACTTGAATATTGTATTTGGGAAGACAACGGGATGGAAGGATGGTGGGGGGACCGGATGGATGTAGGGGGAACTGGATGGATGGTGGGGGGACCAGATGGATGGCAGGTGAGTGGGACAGGGAGGCTGATTAAGGAAAGAAAATCTTTTAGAAACATCAGCACTAGAATCGTGTAAGGGAAGAACACGTGGAGGGCGAGTGTGTGGGCAGGTGATAGTGGATGGATGAGTAGCAGGGCGGGCAGAACAGAACAAGTTGGTGGCAGATGGAACTGCCACCTCCTTCGTCTATAATAGACTACCATGGTGACTGATGGTAGACTAAGAAGATGGGTGGCAGATGATAGACTAAGGAGGTAGGTGACTGATGGTAGACTAAGGTGGTGGGTGGCTGATGGTAGACTAAGAAGGTGGGTGGCAGATGGTAGACTAAGGTGGTGGGTGACTGATGGTAGACTATGGAGGTAGGTGACTAATGGTAGACTAAGGTGGTGGGTGGCTGATGGTAGACTAAGAAGGTGGGTGGCAGATGGTAGACTAAGGTGGTGGGTGACTGATGGTAGACTAAGAAGGTGGGTGGCAGATGGTAGACTAAGGTGGGGGGTGACTGACGGTAGACTATGGTGGTGGGTGACTGATGGTAGACTATAGAGGTGGGTGGCTGATGGTAGACTAAGGTGGTGGGTGGCTGATGGTAGACTAAGGAGGTGGGTGGCTGATGGTAGACTAAGGTGGTGGGTGGCTGATGGTAGACTAAGGTGGCAGGTAGCTGATGGTAGAGTAAGGTGGTGGGTGGTTGATGGTAGACTAAGGAGGTTGGTGGCTGATGGTAGACTAAGGAGGAGGATGGTAGGGTGGGCACAGAGCGGGTTGATAGCAGGGCAGTCAGGAGACAGTGGGGCGGCAGGTGAGTAGCAGGACAGGTGGTCAGAGTGGGTGGGTGGGTGGTGGCATGAGTGGACCAGCTTCTGGCAGGGACTAATGCAGGAGCTGGTCACCCCCGGTCCCGCCTTGCTACCTCCATCTCCTCATCCCCCACACTGCCCCCATCCCCCTAAGCTGTTCCTCCTCTCAGCCATATGAACGGTATTAATAAGAAGGGCTTCCTTGTTACTGGCTTATAGATCGGGAGGCAGACTACCTGAGCACCTGACATTAAACTTATTGTTTGCTGATTACTTACGACTGTGAAAGCCTGATTGACTGTGAATGTCTGATTAACTGTGAATGCCGGATTGACTGTGAATGCATAACTGGTTGCTACTACAACTGTGAGTGCTTGACTGCCTGTGACTGATCTTGACTGAATGCTTGATTGACATGTTGTGACTGACTGGTTCTGACTGGCTGCCACATAACAGAGGCAGTGAAATGTGTGAAAGGAAAATCTGGAACAAGTGATGCAGATATGAAAGTGTTTAAGGCAAGCAGGGGATGGATGCAGAGATCCTTTACTGCTAGAATCCACTCTGTAAATTATCTAAACTATTAAGAACGACTAAAATGCTTAAATCTGTATTCTCTTGAGCGCAGGTGAGAAAGATACATAATAATTTACACGTGGAAAACAGTAGAGGGGCTGGTCCCAAAGCTGCACACAGAAATAACACCACATGAGACCAGGAGGCAAGGCAGGATGTGCAGAATACCCCTAGTTGAAAAGCGGAGGTGCAATAGGTACTCTGACAGAGAACTCCATCAACATCAGAGGCCCGAGACTGTTCAACACACTTCCACTACACATAAGGGGCATAACTGGCCGACCCCTCACAGTGTTCAAGAGAGAACTTGACAAGCTCTTACAAAGGATACCTGATCAACCAGGCTGTGACTCATACTTCAGGCTGCGAGCAGCTGCGTCAAACAGCCTGGATGACCAGTCCAGCAACGAGGTGGTCTGGTCGATGACCGGGCCGTGGGGACGCTAAGCCCCGAAAACACTTCATGGTATGGTCTTGCCGCCTCCTCCTTCCTCCTCACCCTCACCTCACACCAACACCGCTCCTCCCTCCCTCCTCCCTGTCTCCCATGCGCTAACAAGAGTCATCAGTAAAGGTAGAGTACAGTTAAATGTTCACTTATTTTATTTATGGTTTATATTTACACATGAATGTTTTCTGTATGGAAAAATATGAGTAGTATTCTGTACAAAATGTATTTTAAAGTTAATATTTTTGGGTGTGTGGAATGGATTAATTCAATGTACATTATTTCTTTTGGGAAAATTTGTTTCGAGTTACGAACTTTCGAGTTACAACCCATCTCTGGAAATTGATTAAATTCGTAAATGGAGCTACCACTGTACAGCATATGTACTCAGCAAAAGCGCTGAAGCTGAAACCATCAATCTTATTGTATATAGGACAAGAAATACACCATGGGGTACAATTTCACAACAGGGTTTTATTGGACAACACAGGATTATTTTACACTATATAGATATGGAGGGGGGAGTGGGGGTTACTTTGTTAGGTCACAGGATTGTTGAAAACAAGAGTGATACCTTCCAGCAAACATAAGCCTTAGGGATGACTTGTCTATTGGACCCACACAAACTGGGACTTAAGGTCATCACCCTACTCCACACTTCCTTGGTAACTACATAGGTAGCATGGGTTTTAACAGTACAAGGTCCTGACCCTTAAGACACAAATGGGGATCACAGTTGATGGGGTATAGACCACGTGTTACAGGAATTTGAGGGAAACAATCAACATAACACAAACACCACCTACACACAGGGTTCTATAAATATAGTGGCAACTTGGTTTACAAATTTAATCTGTTCCAAGAGATGGTTCGTACACCAAAAATTTCTAAACTGAAATCGTACACCAAAAATTTCTAAACTGAAATTAATTTTCCCCAAAGAAATAATGTAAATTTAATTAATCTGTTCCAAACACCCAAAAATATTAACATAAAAATACATTTTATACAGAATACTACAATATTTTTTACTATACCTTACCTTTACTGAGGACTCTTGTTGACGTAAGGAAGACAGGGAGGAGAGGGGGAGGGGTGGTGTTAGCGTTTGGAAGGGACGTCCCCTTCCATTGTAACATCAGGCAGTGATGACATTTCTGGGGTATGTTTCTTTCTTTCTTTCTTTCTTTCTTTCTTTCTTTCTTTCTTTCTTTCTTTCTTTCTTTCTTTCTTTCTTTCTTTCTTTCTTTCTTTCTTTCTTTCTTTCTTTCTTTCTTTCTCTCTCTCTCTCTCTCTCTCTCTCTCGCTCTTACATTTTGCAGGCATACCACTAGGACTTAGTTGTGACTCACTGCTTGCTTGTCTCACTAAAAATTTGTCTATAGACACTTGTTTTTCCCGATGTTTTTAACACTTGTCTGTAGTGAGACATCACAGTGTCATTACCAAGGTTAACACAACGCCCTGCTACAGCTTTATCTGGGTGAGTCTTTTCAGCAAAACTTTGCAGTTTTTACCATACTGCACACATTTTCTTAATTAGGAATGGACATTCTCTACTGCCTCGTCTTCCCCTGAAAAAATTTCCTAGGCTGTCTCTTATTGTTGCTCTTTGTAAAGGGTAGGAGTTCTTCAGTAGTCAGTTCTTCGCTGTGTTCCTCCAACTCCTCCTCTGCGTGATATATAATAAAAACTTTTATGTTCAGAAACCAAAAAAGCAGAAAACAAAATATTCTGTATTGTACTTCACAAATAATTTAAACGCAGTCGTCACTAGGCGGGATACATTGGAAAACTGAGAGTGCCTCGCCCCGCGCCTAGTAGAACCCACGTGCTCGACCTATACATGTAAGTATCAACAAAAACTCGTATTCCAAGGCAAACTTTGTACACCGAGTTAAATTTTACGAGGAAATTGAATCAGCCATCCGGTTCCACACCTCACATCTCCCAATAGTTCATTTATATGTCTTATAAAGTTCCAGGCTGATTTTCAACATTTAACACTGCTGTTTCTATATTGCTCTATTGCATTATACCCTTCACAAGGGTCTCTGTCTTACATTAGTCCCCTTCCTTTATCGTCTTCACCTTTAACACTTGATCCTGAAAAACATAAACAATTAAAAAAATACAGGTCTCATGATGACTCTTTCAGTATCATAAAATATAAAACAACCCTTATGATAATTGCTGCAATGTAATTTTGATTACCATTATGACAATTATAACTATCATGTGAAAGATGTGGAAAGTTTGTCTGTGAATCATAAAACTGAGATTGGTTATTATGATGAAGAGTGAGCAAGTGAGTGAAAAAACCAGCGTTGAATGTAATGAAACGCCATTTTCTGGGCGAGTCCCGGAGGCTCCCCGGAGCTATCCAGGCTGAATGGATATGTGTAACTTTCTGGCATCAGTCAAAGTGCTAGGAGTTCTTGCCTACTGGGGACCACAAGCCAGAACCTGGCCCCCTCAGAGAGGCATGAGGAGCAATGGCCTATAGAAACCCCCTTGTGATTGGGAGCATTCTATGTCTGCCATCGACCGGGACAGGCACCCAGAAAGGTAGGCGCCCCAAAACAAACCCCTATTCTGGTGAAATTATTGCTACCGAAAGCCGAACGAGAGGACAGAACTCCCCAAACAAAATTATCAAACTAGCATGACGTCATCACGTCGCCGCGCCACCGTCTGCACAACCCCCCCCCTCCCCGAGATGGGGAAGGGGGAGCCCCAGACCCTCCACGCCGGCAATCCAACTGGCAGTTCTTAGGCTGGATGTCAAAATACGTGAAAAACGCCGCCAACCGGAGGGAGGGAGGGAGGGATGCCGGGGAGCCTCCGGGACTCACCCAGAAAATGGCGTTTCATTACATTCAACGCTGGTTTTCTGGGAGGAGCCCCGTCGGCTCCCTGGAGCTACCTCACCAAAGATAAGTAAAACAGGGAAGGAACCGGGAGGTGGATACCACACGTCCTAACTGAACAACCAAAACCAGAGACAAAACAAAGACCAAAATGAGAAGAAAAAGACCACCCAGGCCAACGATCAGGACGGCCCCAAAACTCAAGAGCAGGCCAGATGGGAAAAATGCCCAGGACAGCAAGTGGAAAGGAGCAGACGGAACCGCAACACTGAATGCAAGCAGGAGCGGCTCTGCCAGCACCATCCAACATGAGGTGACAGAACAATCCCAGATGACAGTCCTAGAACAACCCCGAAGGGAAGACAAGCCAACCCTATCAAAGACCGAAGGACCCTTCGCAGTGATAGGAAAACCACACACCGCCCCCGAGACGAAACACACAGGTGGGAGACCAATAACGAACCCACCTGTGCCGACACAAACGACGAGAAACGAACACCACGATCGAAAGCGCAAAACGCGAATCTAAAAACAGCGACCCCGCAACCCAAAGGAGGAACATAACCAGCTCCAGCAGGGAAGAATGATACACGCATCCCCGAGGCATCTAAGAGGAGAACTACCGAGGACAAGAACCGCAGGAAAGCAAACACACCTGGTCCGGAAAAGGAACAAAGAAAAACCGAAACCAGGACCGGAACCCGGCAAATCCGGTTCCAAGAAAAGGAACCAGGAAGGCAGGAGTGGCAGACCGAAAAGTCCACACCCCCCCCCCCACAGACAGCGCAACCCGAAGCTCTTGAAAATCACACAGAAATTGCAGGAACTCGGTACCAAAACGGAACACCGGAGCAGTCCAAAAGCAGGACGTGGAACATGGACAGAGGCCCACCGGAGCACCAAACAGGATAATCAAGAAGGACTGACCCAGATACACAAAAAAGTGTAGCATGGGGGAGGAAAAACGGAAATAGGTAAGGAAACCACGAATACGGCCCAAGGAGCGGCCAGGAAGTAACGCACACGACCAACCACAAAATGTGTAGAGGAGCGCGTACATACCTGAGGGACCTTAAGGACAGCAGGGTGCAGTCAGGCACTGAAGATAGGCAAGGAAAGTGTCCAGACAGGGAAAAGACCCAGGGGTCGACAACGAAAACAAATGCACCGAAATGCAGTGCAGAGCCCCACAGGACAACAAAGAACAAAAGATGGAAAAAAAAAAAGGCACTAAAGACACATGCAAGGTGACCAAACACCCCAGTCAGGAGCCATCGACGCAATCCCGCCAAGCGGGGAAGAGTAAACAAGGATGGAACAGTGAACAAGGGTGGCGGAGTGAGTAGAGTATCCCAAGAAGATACTCACTCCAAATGCATGAGCCTTACTAGAGAAGCAAAGCTCTCCAAAGTACCAACGATGGAACTCAAACCGTTCCGTACGTCCAAGGAAAAGTCCTGCCCACCTGTGGAGAACTGAGGCGGCGCCCAAGCATATAACCAGCAGAGTAGCGAATAATAACTAGTCTACCTGCAAGTGTGGTCTAGAACAGACATGTGAGACACCGTACCGACACTCTGTGCGCCCAACCCGCACCATTGCCTGCCAAAATATCACCCGCAACTACTGTATACACAACAAAAGATAAGTAGTTCCTTAGTGTTTGTGTTTATTGACCAATCTCCACGAAACAATAGAAACTGGGATAGTGGCACACGCCACCCTTGCGGCACATTGTGGGCACGAAGCAATGGGCATAAAAGGGAGAAGCGCAGAATCAGGAAAGACCGGAGGAATGACCGGCATGGTAACAGGCCCGGTGATGCGCGGAACCAATTACCACGTAATGTGGTGGTGGGGCCCCCCACGATTGTTGGACATGTATGTGAGTGGGAATGGATGGTAAGAAACAGTAGCTCCCTCGCACGGGCCAATAGGCCCTCCGCAGGTCCACTGTAATTACCTAAGTGTAATTACCTAAGTGTAGTTACAGGATGAGAGCTACGCTCGTGGTGTCCCGTCTTCCCAGCACTCTTTGTCATATAACGCTTTGAAACCACTGACGGTCTTGGCCTCCACCACCCTCTCACCTAACTTGTTCCAACCGTCTACCACTCTATTTGCGAAGGTGAATTTTCTTATATTTCTTCGGCATCTGTGTTTAGCTAGTTTAAATCTATGACCTCTTGTTCTTGAAGTTCCAGGTCTCAGGAAGTCTTCCCTGTCGATTTTGTCAATTCCTGTTACTATTTTGTATGTAGTGATCATATCACCTCTTTTTCTTCTGTCTTCTAGTTTTGGCATATTTAATGCTTCTAACCTCTCCTCGTAGCTCTTGCCCTTCAGTTCTGGGAGCCACTTAGTAGCATGTCTTTGCACCTTTTCCAGTTTGTTGATGTGCTTCTTAAGATATGGGCACCACACAACAGCTGCATATTCTAGCTTTGGCCTAACAAAAGTCATGAACAATTTCTTTAGTATATCGCCATCCATGTATTTAAATGCAATTCTGAAGTTAGAAAGCATAGCATAGGCTCCTTGCACAATATTCTTATGTGGTCCTCAGGTGATAGTTTTCTATCTAGAACCACTCCTAGATCTCTTTCTTTATCAGAATCTTTAAAGATTTCTCACATAATATATAGGTTGTGTGGGGTCTATGTTCTCCTATTCCACATTCCATAACATGACATTTATTAACATTAAATTTCATTTGCCAAGTGGTGCTCCATATACTTATTTTGTCCAGGTCTTTTTGAAGGGCATGACAGTCATCTAAATTTCTTATCCTTCCTATTATCTTAGCATCATCAGCAAACATGTTCATATAATTCTGTATACCAACTGGTAGATCATTTATGTACACATGCAGAGCAGACACGCGACCGTGCCACAACACAGGTGAGCCAAGTAACATACTAGGAGCAGCGCTAAAGGTGTGCCCGAAAGCCATGCATACTCGAGGCAGTAGGCATAGTATGTACCGTTACCTGAATAAAATGCGAAGTCAAGGGAGAAATACGGCCAGAGGCGCGCGCCCTGCTGAAGACGAAGCAGTACAGAGGGGGAGGAGGCGGCGCAATGCCAAACCATCCAACACCAAGAAGCAGAGGAAGAACAAAGTGACACCCCCAGATATAAATCCAAAACACCCTCAGCATCCTGAGGGCCACGACTGGAGGGAGAAACGAGCAAGAAGCCGTAGAAAATAACGAGAAACGACGTGAACACACGAGCATACCTCCCGTAAACAAAACGCACACCGCGGCCCCAGCACACGAGGTACGAAACGCACCACCCGTCCACCGGGAGGAGTGGCTCGTACACCAGGCGGACACACAAATCGTACACACAACTTACAGACATCGTGCAAACACCAGGAAGGCGTGCGGAACGAAGACAAAGAACGCCGAAACTGGAAGTAGAGACGACGTGAAAACAAAACAAGGCGAAAACGAAGCAAAAGAAAACAGATGATGGAAGGGAACCAACAAGGCCGACAAAAGACCTGAGAGAAACCACATCGAAAATCAACAGACGTTCCAATAATATTGGAAGGTACGAAGAGACTCGCGAACCAACGAGAACCACGACAAGCACCCCTGACCAAGGAACATGCAGGGACAGCGATACGAAGCAGTTTAGGCACTATGTACTAGGTCAATATAGAAATCCATCAATGTTTGTTTCACACCTTGTATGGATGTACCTTACCTGGACACTTTTTTTTTTTTTTTGAACAGCATCGCAACGTAAGAGCGAAAAGGGTAAGGAAAAGGGGGTGAAACACACCCCCAGGTACGACGGGACCGACGAACTCGAAGGGACACGGAACCGAACCCAGGGAGGGGTATACCCGAAAACAACAGGAACACAGAGGGAAGGAACAACCCCACTGAGGAACTGCCAGCCCCCCACCAAAGGTACAAAGACCCAAGAGGAGCAAAGGGGGCCAAGGCCCCCCCAGGCAACCCCTCCTTAACCCCGGGAACCTCTACGGCATGACTCAGGGCCAAGCCGCACCCCCAAAGCCCCAGCATTAACAAGGAAAAGCCGGGGCAGCCGTGCAAACACTAATGAAGGGAGCCCACTTGTCAGACCCATACGGCACGGCTGGAGGAACCGACTCGAATGCCTCCGCCACCATCCCGGAAGAGGAAAATCCCCGAGACCGCCCGAATCTCAACCTAACCAGACCCCGCCCCAACCCCAAAACCCGCCTATGGTTCGGAGCAG